TCAAGCCCAGCAGGGGGACAGCCAGGAGAGGGCAGGTCTGCCGAGCCTGCAGCCAGGGCACAGGCCCCCTCCCGTGTCCCCGGCCTGGAGCACCTTGCAGCCAGCCCCCCACCCAGGGCTGACCTGAGTATGTGGGGGCCTGGGGGGCAGATCTAGGGTCCTGCACAGTGTCTGCCAGGTGACACTGTCTTCAGCTCAGCCCAGCTTCCCAGGCCCCGACCAGCTGCCTCAAGGGGTCCTGAGGTCCTGCAAGGTCAGTAGCAGGCCCTGTTGCCAGGGACACAGGAAGAGCTGTGAGGAGAGAGCACCCAGGGAGGAGAAGCTACTGCAGATCCAAAGGGGTCTGGTTTCCAAGCCCACATATGCATTTCAACAGCCCCCAGACTCGGCTTTGAAGGGACCTCTTCCACGAACCCTCGCCCCTAGGCAGGCTGCCAGGGGGCCGGGCATCACACACACCACACCCAGGACCCACACCTCGTCTGGCTGGCCACAGGGAGCTGGGTGCCATGACACCAGGGGTGAGGCTCAGAGCATCCCCAGGTCCCCTGGCAGTGGAGGAGCTAGGTTCCGGGAGGGGTGGGCTCTGGAAGGGACGTCAGCTGGTGAGCAGGTGGTCTGGACATGCCTGACAGTGCAGCTCCTGGCCCCGCCCAGGCCGTCGCGGCCACACTGGTGCCCCTGCTGTGCAAGGAACATCCAGCGGACTGGTGATGAGCAGGGAACACAGGTCCCAAACAGCCGAGTAATCACTGTAATGACCACTTGGACACCATCTGTCACTGTCACAGGACCCACCTCACCCCGCAGCCTGCAGAGCTGGGGAAGGGCCTCCTCCTAGGGCCACACATCTCTGGTGGTTGCTTTGATAGCCAGGACCACGCAGGGCCTGAACCCTGCAGCCCTCCCGTGTGCCCCAGGGTCAGGGCCAGCCTGGTGGGGGTGGGGGAGGCCGGTGGCCACCAGCTATGCGACTCAGACGGGAGTACTGGTGCAGCCCAGGGAAACAGGGAAGTGGAGCAGGACAGAAGCCCAGGTCACACCAGGACAGAAGGGGCAGGTGACTGGGTGGGGAGAGGTGGGCTGTGCCGTAAAACATGCTGGGAAAACCAGTTCTTCCGTATGGGAAAAGCCAGGGCGCTACGTCACATGCACCAGACAGGAATTCTCCGTGAATGAAGGCTGTCAGCGTGGGAAGGGAGCCTTCACGACTCTAGAGAACATATGGGAAACTATATTTAAGAGCTTGGAGTAGAAAGGATGTTTTTAGACAAGACACCAAAAACTCAAACCACAGAAGAGGAAAGGGTTAATGCACTGACGTACGCTGAACTACAAAATGTCTGTGCGTCATCAGACAGCACAAACAAAGCAGAAAGACACGGTAAAGAAAAACACCAACGACCCAATCAAAAAGTGAGCAGAGACTTGGTTAGGCAACTCACAGAAGACACCCAGCGGCCAACAAACGTGGAAAACGGCCCCTGAGCAGTGACCAAAGAAATAAACCACGAAGCTGGCCTGTGCCGATGCCGGCACACAGGTGCGTCGTGGCCTTTGCACACCTGTGAAGGCAGGGCACCTGGACACCGCCCCTTTGGGAGGAATCAGGCGCATCTAGTGCAGGAGCGGGTCCCATGCTCCTGTTCCTGGGGGCATTTTCTGGACCCTGTACCCCAGAGGCAGTGAGTAGAGGGAAACACCCACAGTGGGAGGGAGGGTGTGGAAGCAAGCTACCGGAAGGTAAGACAACTCGAGCTTCTCCATCCACTCGGGTAGACGTCGGAGCTGAGGAACAACGTGGGCTCCATGACGCCAGCGTCTTGGTCCCAACGGCACAGAACACTGCCGGGAGCCCTGAAAGCCCAGTTCTGGTCGCCTCCCAAAGGAGGCCTGGGTGGGACTGAGTGCAGGGAACCTCAACTCTGCCATGTTTACATTTTGGAAGATCAAAGCAAATACGGTATGAGCTTGGGGCTTGACAGCGTCAGGAGAAGACATAGGCTGGATAGTCTGTCCCCTTCCCTCTGCTGGCTTTGAAATGTTCTCTGGGCACCACCGTAGGCCCACCGTTCCAAGGAAGGAGCAGCGGGTGGATGACACGCAGGCGGGGCGTGTGGGGTCCCAGGCGGGAGGTGAGCACCCCGAGCCTGCTCTGTCACTGGGGACAGCTCGTGTGTGGGGCGGGGCCTCTGAGCCTCACTGCTGTCACTTATGTGTATGTGCGTACTTGTGCATGCACACCTGTGCATCATGCACACTGCGTGTGCATGCATGTATGTGTGTGCACACGCGTATGTGCCCAAGGCAGCCAGCCCAGCTGGCGTGGGATGTTTTTCACAAGCTCTCTCCCCAGCACGGCAGGCGCTAACGCACTGCAGACGCACTGCCTGTCCTGCTGAACGAGCAGCTCTTGCCCGACGCAGGGGCAGCACTCAAGCTGTAACGAAGCGGACTGATGACTGAACGGCCCACAGCCATTACAGAGCAATCGAACGGTGAGCATTTGACCAGAGTGCCAATGGGATGGGCTGCTGCCAAGAGAAGGGGCGGGCAGCTCAGCCTCCAAGAGGACCTGGCATACACACTGCCACCCTATAGCCCCCCCACGGATGGCCATACATCCCCACAGGGAGCTTCCCACCCAGAGTGCACATGCAGGCCACGCACATGCCTACACAAACGTGCAGATGGAAGGCCACCCCGGCATCATGCTCCGTCCATTATGGGCCCTGACACAGACAAGCATGAACACACTTGTGTCTGCACGTGCAGTGGTGTCACACGTGCTTGTCACGCTTCCTGCATGGAGCCACACACACAGCAGCAGATGCCTACGTGCCTGGGACAGGTACGGGCAGGGGCAGCCTTGGGAGAGGATGGATCCTTAGGGAGACAGCATCAGCAAAGGCAGAGGGCTCCCATGGCTTTGGCCAGGCCAAGGTCAAGGTTGGGTAGATGGCCACCTGGCCAACCCCGAGTCCCACACTGAGAGGAGAGGTGGCATTGCGTGAACAGCCTGTCATCCCAGAGATGTGGGTGACAAGGGTGCCTTTACTGAGTTGCAACTCAGCCAGGCCCTCATGGAGGCTTCCACCACCCGCTTTCTGCACTGATGCGTGTGCCTGCACCCACCAGGGAGGCTCCAAGAGGCCAGGTAATGTGTGCCAGGGGCTGGACCAACCAGGCCTGGCCCATAGCTCAAGCCCCCTCTTCTGCACTTGCCTCCAGGGTTGTCACTGACGCAGGACGGAGGGGGACAGGCCCCTAGATGGGAGGTCTGACAAGGGGGGTCGAGGATGGAGGTCTGCGTGCTCCCCCAGGGCCTTGCCATGCCCGAGGGCCCCGCCCCACGTGCCCTCCCACCCCCACTGCCCTCTCACGCAGGCATGGCCCACATCCTCCTCTCACTGGGAGGCCACTGTGTGTGTGGAGCCACGTGAAGTGAGACGAATGCCAAGGGTCATGGGGCAGAAGGACCTTCTGGTCCTGTACAGACGAGTGGGGGAGACCCTGGTGGGGGGTTGAGGGAGATGTGTGAGCCAGACACAGGTCACACGGGGCCACCAGGGCCACGTCCAAGGAGCCCTTTTGTTGCTCTCTTCTTGCCATCAGGGGACGAGTGTCCAGTCTAAGGACACAGGGCAGGAAGGCAGGTGATGTTTCCTGGGCTGCTGTGACAGGTGAGAACAGCATATGGTTATTTTCATAGCTCTGGAGGTCACCAGGCTGCGGGGTCTCCCTGGCCCAGCCTCAGGGGTGGCAGGGCTGGTTCTCAGGGTTCAAGAGCAAACCCTCCCCTGGCCTGGTCCAGCATCTGGAGGCTGGGTTCTCTAGAGAAGCAAACTCAGTAGAGCTTATCTATACATACGTTCAGAGAGACGTTTACCCCAGGGAAACAGCTCACACAGCCACAGACGCTGCAAGTCCCATGTTGGTGGGTCAGACGTCAAGCTGGAGGCTTCTCCTGACTCACGCAGCATCAGGGGCTGATGGGTTCGACAAAGATCGGCAGACAGCACGGGCTGCCGGCATCAGTGAGTGACAAGTCCAAGGTCGGCAGGTAAATGCCCGACTGCTGGCTCACAGGCTGGGAAGGCAACAATCCCAGGGTTGGCAGGTGGTACCGCAGGCTGCTGGCTCGGCTCCAAACCCAGGACCCAGATCCAGCAGATAACCCAGCATGTCCGTACACAGCATGGAAGCAGGCCACCCCAAGGCAACGCCTTCAACTGCCTGCCTGCTCCCAGCACATCTCATCAAGATGGCGACGACATCAGACGCCACTGTGGGGGATGACTACCTCCCTACCACTTAGAACCACGGTCCAGCCAAACTGACATACAACCTTCACCATCACAGCCCCAAGGCTGCAAGGCCAGCATGGCACGTTGAGCCCTCACATCACATCTCCCCAACCTCTGCTCCAACCTTGGATTTCCTGACCCTCTCTGCCCCTCCTCCACATTTAGGGACCCTTCTGAACACAATGGGCCTGTCTGGGTGGTCCAGGCTCATCTCCCCCCCAGATCTGCACCATGACCACATCCAGAGAGCCCCTTGGCCAAGTGAGGGAGCACCTTGACAGGTACCAAGGACATAAGGGCACCCTCCTGCAGACCATGGCAGGGAGCATGTCCCTGGCACTCAGGCTCCTGGTGGCTCCAGCACCCCGGGCACTGGTGACCCTCAGAACTCCAGGGCTGCCCGCCTCCCACTCTGATAAGCCTCCGACTCTGAGAGCAATCACTGACAGGCTGTGCCAGGCCCCTTCTGAGTATGGCAGCCAGCCGTGGCCTGGGGACACCCCTTCTGGAGACAGGGGAGCTGGCTTAGCCCCTCCCCAGCCAGAGCACTGGGGAAGCATACATCCTCCTCGCTAGCACTCCCCACCTCCTTGCCCCTGGCCCTGACCGCCTTTCTGGCTCAGCTCCCAGGTGTAACCCCAACAAACCTGCCTCCTTGGCACCCGCCCCACACCTCCAGGGACCCAGCCTGTCTCAAAGTCCTCTTCCCCCCGAGTTCTCTGTGGAGGAGCCCTGCACACCCACGCTGACCCCGGGGTGAAGGTCAAGGGCCTGGAACCCAACAGCTGGCTCCCACTCCAGCCCTCCTGACTCCTCGCTGTCACCCTGGACACGGCTCACCCCACGAACCTGTTTCCCCAGGTGCAAAGTGGGAGGTCCTGAGAGACAGATGGGCAGGTGCTGGGGGTCAGGCCGGCCACGTGAGCATGCCAGCGGTGTCTGCAGGCCCCACCCACTGCGGGAGTGGGAACAGGTGGCCCTGGAGTGAACATGTCCGACTTGCAAATTAACCTGCTCCATGTCCAGGTCCCCTTTGCACCCTTCAGTTTGGGGGCATCTCCTGCCAGCCTGGCAACAGTAATTTGCTTGGGTATCCATCATGCATTCACACCTCCACCTTGCTAATGGCCACATCACCACTGCATGCCATAGCTGGGTGTGATGCAAGGGGCAGCACCCTCACTGCCAACCATCCCGCACTGCACGCCACAGCTGGGCGTGATACATGGGGCAGCACCCTCGCTGCCAACCATCCCGCACTGCACGCCACAGCTGGGCGTGATGCATGGGGCAGTGACCTCGCTGCCAACCATCCCGCATTGCACACTGCGGCTGGGTGTGATGCACAGGGTAGGGCCCTCACTGCCAACCACCATGGCTGGGCGTGATGCATGGGGCAGCGCCCTCACTGCCAACCATCTCGCACTGCACGCTGCAGCTGGGCATGATGCACAGGGCAGCACCCTTGCTCCCAACCATCCCGTGACCTCCTCCCTGTGTGGCCTGCTCAGGAGTCACAGAGGGGTGGGACATGATAATTTGAGAATGACTTACACTGTGAGTATGAAAGGCTACGTACGCTGACCCCTCCACAGCCAGGAAGGGCTGCCAGCCTCAGGCTCCACCACCAAGAGAAGGGGAAGGGATGGGAGGGGAGCTCAGAGCTGGCCATCTCTGGTGAACAGGGGCCTGCTCCAGCCCAGGAAGCTGCTAAAAGGGCTCCTAGACAAAGCCATGGCAGGACACATGGATCAGAGGTTGAGAGTGACTGTGCCCAAGTCCCACACTGACCACTGGCAGTGCCTGCATGACTCTGCAGACACGTACCTGACACCAGGTGCCACCCCACCCACCCAAGCACACAGCCTAGTCCTTCCTGCTGGGGGCAGGGCATCTGGGTTGCCTACAGAGGAGGAAGGATCAAGGCAGGGTCATGTGAAAGGTCACAAGGGCCAGCATGAGGGCTGGTCCAAGACATGGTGATTTGAGCATCAGCAGCCCACAAGCAAAGATGTCACTTTGAGGACTAAGGTGCCTGACCCACGCCACGGTGTTTTCAACCACTTCATATTCGTGTGAGAGCCAGACGAGGGGTAAAGAAGAGTGAGGAAGAGCTAATGTTTTTGAGTTGTGGCACTGGCAAAGAGCACTCAGACGTACCACCGGGGCTGAAAGAGCTAACAGACCTTCCTGCAAGAAGTGCAGCCAGAATGCTCCCTGGAAGCGAGCATGGCCAGACTTCGTCTCCCCTACTGTGGTCCCTGGAGAAGGAAATCACACCTGGTAAGTGGAGGGTCAATGAAAAAGGAGAAGGCCCTCAATGAGATGGACTGACACAGTGACTGCAACGATGGGCTCAGGCACAGCAAGGCAGCATTTCGCTCTGTTGTGCGCAGGGTCAACATGAGTCAGAGCCGACGTGACGGCACCCAACAATCCACGTGACAACCCAGATCAACAGGGTCCCAGCCGTGTGGGAGGGGCTGGGCGGCGCAGGGAAAACGGGCCATTGGAGGCAGAGGTGACGGACTGCCCCAGCCGGGAGCACCTGAGGGAGGAGCTGACCCGGGTAGTGGCTGCCAGGGGCCATGTGGCAAGCCATCAGTGAAGGGCCGCGGGCGTCCACAGATCCCACCCCTGTGTGCAGGGGGACGCTGGCCTCACCATGAGCTCCGTCCCAGGATGTGGGGCAGGAACCACAGCAGGGTCTGCAGGGGATGACCGGCCTCCCCACAAGGCCACCGGCAGGGACAGAGCAAGCTGCCCCGGGCAGAATGCAGACGAAGCAGTCCGAGGCGACGCACAGGGACCCTAACCCACAGCAGCGGTGGCAGGGCCACGTGGGGCTGAGTGGGCGGTGAGCCCTGGGGCTTCGTCAGGGCAGTTCCCAGCCACGGGGCATGGCTCCAAGGCCCCACCACTGGCTCCGTAACCACCCTGCCTCCAACCATCCTGGTTTCCAGAGTCTGAGCATCCCAGGGGCTGACCTTGGCTGGCGGCCTCATCAAAACCTGACAGCACCCTCCTTCAGAACACAGATGAGGGTTTGCGCTGCCCAGAAGGCCAGTGACCATGCCCTGGAGAGGGCGGGGAAAGGGAGCGCAGGCCTGCCCCAAGCCCACGCTGCACGGGATCAGCTCCCACACTGCCTGCGGCTGCCTCTCCACGACGGGGCAGGTGAGCAGCTGCCAGAGCCCCTGGCCCGCAAAGCCTGGAGCACTGACCACCATGCCCTTCGGCTGGAAGCCTGCTGGCCAGCTCCGGAAGGCTCCCTCTGGCTGCACGGTAGGAAGGCTCCCTCTGGCTGCACGGTGGGATGGACCCCGGGCTCACAGCAGGTGGCAGGGACCAGCCACAAGTTGCATCAGGATAGCGTGGCCCACCATGTCCTCTGGCTCCGGGGACTGGGCGTTGCATCAGGATGGCGTGGCCCACCATGTCCTCTGGCTCCGGGGACTGGGCGTTGCGTCAGGATGGCGTGGCCCACTATGTCCTCTGGCTCTGGGGACTGGGCGTTGGTGCTGGGCATGGTGTCCAGGAGGGTGCCGCCCACGCACGGGGTGCACACTGGGCTCATTTGGTCAGAGAATGTGGGCCTCTGGGCAGAGTGTGGTGACACGAGGCTGTACGCAGGGTGCACACACGCCACATCCAGAGGTCTTTATTCCTTTACTTTGGGGACTGCTGCTCGGGGTGTCCTTGGGCACCCCCCCAACCGCCTTAGGGACCTGCCCTGGGCGAGTCCTTTCCCTATGGGACGTCGGCTGACTGGGTGTCCTCACCAGGCTACACTGTGCCCGTCTTCACTGGTGAGGACTGGCTGCTGCAGCACCCTGCACAGGGACGTGGGGAGCCACCCTGCCCGCTGTCGATCCCTCCTGTTCCCACCCCAGGACTCCACTCTGCTCTTTCTGATCTGGAGCATCGAGTTTAAGGAGAGGGGCCTGGAGGCCCATGTGGAGCACTGGGCAGGACTCGGTGTGCACGGGAGGGGTGCCGGGTCTGGGGGGCTCTGAGCACCAGGTGTGCTCGATGCCAGGGGAGGTGGCGTTCAGCGAGGCAGGGCCACCTGCTCACCTGCCTGGCCCGACGTCTGCATGGCGGGCGGCCCTGGGGCCGGCGTGCACAGCTGGTGGAGAAGCTCTTTCTTGTTGACCTTCCCCATTGGGTTCCGCGGGATTTCCTCCACCAGCAGCAGCTCTGAGGGCACGGCGTACGGGGCCAGCACTCCCCTGCAAGGACGGCACAGTAAGACTGCGGTGAGACTGACGGGGAGGCATGGTGAGGGACAGGAACACGGCAGGCCTGTGAGTGCTCGCCCACCCGTGAGCTGCCCTCCAGGGACACGGGGCAGCAGGTCCAAGGCAGCAGCTGGTAGGTTCAAAACGTCACCCTTTACCCACTGTGCCACTGGGACTCCTCAGAACATTACTGGTACCCTAGAAATACCCCCAGATCCTCCAAGTCAGTGGTACCCTAGAAATACCCCCAGATCCTCCAAGTCAGTGGTACCCTAGAAATACCCCGACCCTCCAAGTCACTGGCCAAGCTCCAGAGGGACCAGGGTCTTGACTCTCAAGAGTGTGGATTAGCTCTGTCTATGCGATACTGAACAGACGTGGGCCTTTTTTCTGGTCAAGGACAGTGTTTAGCCACGTACCATGAACTTGTTTAAATAGATTCCCTGGATCAGAGCGAGGAACTGTTCTTTTTGTAATCTGCTGAGAGTTTCTGTCAGAGGTTTGAATTCTGCAAACGCTTTTCTGCATCCGCTGAGAGGCGGCTCTGGTTCTCCCTCTCTGATCGGTAAACACGTGAATCGCAGGAACTGATGCTGGGTTCCTGGCTAAAGTACCACTGAGCCAACACGTCTTTTCACAAACTGACTTGATTTAAGGGCTTTGTGTCTATGTTAAAAGGGATATCAATCCGTTTCCGGTATCTGGCAACAGCCTTGGGGGTTTTGGTACCAGGGTAAGGCTGGCATCGTAGACTAAACTAGGAGATGTGCTCTCCCCTCAACTGGTTTCAGCCTCTGTGTAGGCGTGCTCCTGTTTCTTCTTTAAAGGTTTGCTAGGTGTCCAGGGAGGCCTTTTGGGTCTGCGTTTCCCTCGGGAGTGCTCTCATGTGAATTCAATGTATCGAGTAGACAGCTATTCAGGTTTTCTAGGGTTTGTGTCAGTTTCGGCAATTTGTCTTTCAAGGAATTGTCCGTTTCATGTAAATTGCTGAATTCCCTGGATAAAGTAGATCCTAATACCCCACACTGCCTGCTACTGACTGTAGGATCCCGTGTGGCCTCCTCTTTCATCCCTAACGCCCGCACTCTGTTTTCTCTCCTCTTTTCCTGATCAGTCCACAGGCCCATTTTCAGGCAGATGGACAAGCACCGTCGTCCTGAGAGGGACAGAGCACGCGGGGCTCAGACCTCAGGGGTGAAGGTCCGGTCACTCCTCAGGAAGCACCTGGTCAAACGAGCAGAGACTCAAGAGCATGTGGATCTGGGATGGCCAGTGGACGAGCGGGGCGGTGAGACTGAGGCCCGGAGACCAGCTGCAGCAGGGGGTTAATCGTCTTTTTAAATTCCCAGGGGACACAGCCCCCAAAATTCTGGACGGGCAGTTTTTGGGTTGATGGTGGGTCTGAAGGCGAGAGTGCAAAGTCAGTGGGTGTGGTGCTGCAGCCAGACCCCTGCCAGGTGCAGGAATGCCCCTCCCCGGCACTGCCCTGACCTCAGGTCACACTTCCTGGGGGTGGCCCACGGCAGCACCCACACAGGCTCTGCCAGGTGAGGGCCAGGACCCAACTCTTTCCTGAGAGCTGGAGGGCCGCACCATGAGCACAGCACTGAGAGCCGGAACCCGGGTCCCTGTGGGAGACATGCCTGTCTGAGGGTGACTGAACACCTGGCGACCTGGGCTCTAGGGGACTCTCTGGAGGAGAGCTCTTGACACAGGGTGTTTCTTTTTTTTCTACAAAGTAATTGTTCAATCAAAGCAGCAACGGCCAGCTAGAATCCTCCTTGCCTTTGTTAAACTGTTGCCTTCCCACTGTGATGCTGCCGATCTGGGGGAATCTTTAATTGCCCAGCTGTGCTGCCCTGATGAAGCACGGATCCCCACTGTTTGTGAAATCATGTTGGACGAGCCAAAAATATCTCAAACGCCAGGAAGAGGGAGGAAGCCAGTGGGGAGGGTTGGAGGGGAGAGAGGGAGGGCAACAAGATGTCTTGGGTTACAAAAAAGAATTTAGGGGGAGAGTTGTCCTAAGAAAAGCTGGAAGCTTCCTTCCCAAGCTTGACGCCACGGCTGGGATGCTTCCAGTGGGTTTCTCTCTCTGGGGCTGTCTGTCCTCTCAGCACTCTGACAAGGACAAGGGCCTAGCTGGGTCCTGCAGTAACCCTCAGGTGCCTGCCCCAGGGAGAAAGGTGCTGTGGGCCCCTTGGACGCATCAGAAAGCACCGGGCCGAGAGGGTGGGAGAAGGCGGCAGCTTGGGGGAAGGCTGGGGTGAGGTGAAGGGGAGGAGGAGAAGGCCGGGTGTGGGGGGGCAGGACAGACAGTCCGGCCCGGCGCTCGGTGTGGGGAAGGGGCTTTTGGTTTTTCTCTGGAGGAACAAAGACTCTCAGTTCATCAGTGGGGTAAACAGGTGAGGGTGGTCAGAGGGTCAGAGGTGGTCAAAGGCAGTCTGAGGGGTCTCTGTGGAGCCTCACCAGGGGCGGGAGGGGAGGGAGGCAGCTCTTGGGGGCGAGGGCAGGGGTGCAGTGGCTGGGGGCCTGGGCTCTGTCTCCCCGACCAGGTCCTCAGAGCGCAGTGATGGACAAGCCTCCGTGGCCAGCCGGAGGGGAAGTAGAGGGTGTCAGGTTGCGTGGGGGCCCCACCGCCGCTTTCCCCCTGCTCAAGGCCACAGCCTCACGTCCTGGGGATTTCGATAATTGAGACTCATCGGGGGACCTGCATGAGCATGCATCTCTGTAAGCTCGGGGGGCTGCCTCCGGACCCTACCCTGAGGTCAGGTGGGGAGGGTGGGCGAGCCTCACCCCTAACCGTACATGGTTACGCTACTTGGTGGGGGAACAGGGCCGGTCCCAGCTCTGCACTTGAGCGACGACAGGACTTCCTCTGAGCCCTTTGCAGTGGGGGAAAGACCACGTCCTTCCAGCCCCTCACTGATAGAGCACGTCCACAGCC